AAATATTCATAGTTAAAATAAAACTTTAAGTTGGCTTAAAACTTCAATTTAAAAGCATCGATATTTAAAAAAGTTTTCCAGAAAGTTCTAAAAGCTTATCAGATGTCCATCTCCTATCTGAAGCGACAAATGTAATTAGTTATCGATTCTTATAAAGCTTATCTATATATCATCATATCTTTATTTCTAAACTTTTTAAAATCTCATTTATTTAAAATTCCACTGGAACTGTTAAAACTATTGCCTATAAAATAGATGAAAAGACCTGATAGTTCATATCGCTTAGATAAAATCAATCTGTGTTTAAGATAAGCTGAGATAAAAACGTACATCTTAATTTTTAAGTCTTGAATATACTTAAAACTCACAAGTAACGGACATCAAATCCCTTGCGTAATTTATACACGTGATTTAAATCTGTATAGATTAATTAACCTTAATTTAAATACACGTTTTTTATATAGAAAATATGAAAGAAAACAAATAGTGTGTGGTAAGATTTTTTTATCTGTTTACCTTCTGATTTGTGAAACGTGTCACACACATGCGTTTAATGTAAATGAAATTTTTAAATACATATTTTTTATATTTATATAATAGTGTGACAAGTTTAAAAAATTAAATCGTCTATTTAATTTAATAAAAGACAAACATAAAGTCAGATTGATTCAAGAACAAATAGTATTTAAAATGAATAAACTTTTTTTTATATATCATAAGGTGGCAAACGAGCAAGCGGCCACCTGAAATCGCTGAAATAGCGAAGTGACCTTTGCCCATAGACATACGCAATTGTATATGCGTTGCCTACCTTTACTCGACGGAGGAGAGGATGCACAGAAATAAAATATTTTCCCTTTCCATGCATCCTCTCATCCGGAAAGACCACTTCTACTTCCCATCCTTTCGTTATAAGAAAAAGGGTGGAAAGGGAGAGAGGACTAAATTTGGCCTCCGGGACGCACAATCATCAGACGAAAGGCGGAATTGCTTCTACTTCGCGCCTGTCTTCTGTGTGGTCGTGGTATTTCACCGGGCGAGCCGGGCCAACTCGTGCGAAGATGTTAAAGCGGGCTCTACTACTGATAACTTATTTTATGTTTATTTTACACTTTAATAAACTACGTTTTTCCATATCTTACTTCATACTCTTATTAATATTATAAATGCGAATGTTCTCATGGATGTATGGATGTTTGTTTGATCTCCAAAATGGCTGCACAGATCACGTTTTTCGACATACATATTTTTAGACATTATTAATTACAATCCTTGGTGCGAATGACGCGCTTTCGTTACAAAGTCTAGTGTCAGAATGTAGTAAAGCTAGTGTTGGGTCAATACACTCTCATTTCCGGATTTTCTTCCTAAAAATATAGAGCATAGTCTGGAAAACACATATGCTACTAATTATGTTTTCTTTTTAATTCTGCGCAGACGGAGTCGCTGGCGACAGCTAGTTTAAGAATAAATATTACAATGTGCATAGGAACTAGGACAATAACAGCTAGATACCATCCAAGCGGCATATAAAATCGTAAATTGAATATTAAATAGCCAACAAAAGTTTCAGATATGCAAGGAAACGTTAACACGGTCGGTTTGCACTTTCATGGCGCCCCTCTCTACATACGACGCGTGTGCCGCTTTTATAATTCTGCATCGACTCTCGGAAACTTCTGCATTCGCCTTGTCCTGGGAATGTCCCGTTCTTTTTCTTAGAAACCTCGCATGAATTATCTTTTCAAGTTCATATGCGATACGTTTTGATGTATGCGTTCTGTGTTTCTTTTACAAAAAAATTGACAATATGACCAGATTTTTGTTAATTTACTAATTATTTCTTGTACCGTTCCAACTAAGCTTGTGCTAGGTATTACAATAGTCGAATGGCGGGATTCAAACCCCGACCACATGATCGGTAATCCGACCCCTTAACCATTAGGCTATTGACGCTTCAATGCTCCATTTTATTTCCTATAAAACAAGACATAGTTTGCAACTAATGTCGCAACGTCAACGTCTTTAAAGTAGTAAAGATGATTATCTAAAAATTCCATTTATTAGATTTCAAGTTGAGACAATAATCGTGTCTATATTTGGTATACTGTCATCAACATGACCTTACAAATTACAATAATGGTAAGCGAAAACGACATCTGTCTATTTAAATAATAGAGTCGAAGTTTTTTTTTAAACTCTAATGTCGTTTGCAATGGAAAAACCTGCGCCCGCGTTCTTAACACGCTGACAGCTGAAGAATTAAAAGATAAGCCCACATGATATACAAATACGAGACGTTTCTAAACGCTATCTCGTACAAATAACTGGGACATAAATTAATCGGGGCTCAGTGCGATATACAAAACATGTAATGCTATAGTAAATGTTGCTATCGCATAGTTTCGGTGCTTGTTTGTGTGGAACCATCAGAGCCTCTGTATTCATCTGATAATAATTTACATCATTCGCTTTTTATTATATAGACTAGCTGTAGCCTGTGACCTCGTCTGCGTGGAATTAAAAATAAAGTAATGATCTATGTGCTCTACTACTCTACTGACCAGACTATGTACTACCTTTACGCCAAATTTCGTCTAGATCCGTTGAGTCGTTCCGAAACATTCGCATTTATAATATAAGTAAGATAACATACATAGCTGTTGCATGATTACATATTCGTCTAGTTCCCACATTCTTACTATCAAATACAAATATTTATTTCCGAATGCGTATTGTTTATATCTTGTTCACGGGAAATGTCGATTTATCTGCATTACGAGTTTACATTTTAAATAGTGATAGGCACAACTAACTAGTTGTTATGAATGGCCATCTATATATTATACTATCCACGTTAACGTTGGTATAACTTTTTTTCCAGTAAGTACTATTCGCGGTGACTAGTAAATCTAAAATCAAAGTGATACATTAATTCTCTGTTAAATATTGTTACAAATTCTATCCACTTTAACTTCTCTATCCACATTAATTGACTACGTACTACGGCTGAAATACATTTACTAATACTAGTTTGATATATTACCTAAGACTAAATCGATTTGTATGTCTGTTTATAATGATTTTGTTAAAGCATGTAATAGATGTTTGAAATTAAAATATTTATGTACATTTTCCTAATATTATAAATGCGAATATTTAGATGGATGGATGGATATTTATTTGAAGGTATCTCTAGAACGGCTTCATTGATCTCGTTGGAAGAACACATACTTATTACGATTTCTTTTCAATTCCACGCACGGAGTCGAAGATGACAGCTAGTATTTAAATAAATCACACTACAGTTATAGTTTTAAGGTAAACTAATCTTTCATTAAAGCTAAGGAACCGTTAGCAGTTGTAGGATGCAAACCGTTGTCGTGCTCTGACACGAATCGCTTCGTATAAATTGTAAGTTCGGCGAACATATCCATTGTAATTGTCGTCCGCTAGCCGTGATTGCAGCAAGAGTTAACACGTAATACATTACAGTTTGTGTCACAACACAATCAGGCTCGGCCGAGGACGAATCAGGCGCCGAGGAGCGTAATCTGGGTTAACAGGGGTCAAACGGCATCACAAATTCCAATACGATATTAGACCTATCTGTGGCGCGAATCGACCGCTCCTCTACGTGCGTTATTGCCTTCCTTGTTGATCATACTTGTTGATCTACTCCGGGCAACTGCGCAACTGATTTTTGACGCGTAATAATAATGCCAATGAATAAAAGTTTTTTTTAAACCTTCTACAAACTAGACTTTTTTAAAGTAGTACTTTTATAGTGACTAAAGTTGATGATGATTGTTGACGACAATATGTCAAAAGGATTTTTTAAATGGACAGGGTTATTCCGGCTTTTATTTTCACTCCCAGCGTGCTGGCCAGTTGGCTGCGAAGTCCATAATGTGCATTTGATTTCTATTATTTCCATTATGTGTTGTCAGTTTGTAATATTGCTAATTTCACAATCAGTTCACAAAAATCTTGAGAGTACCTCCATAAAACAGAAATGAATGTATGTTTTTACAATTATGCATACTTTCCTTACTATTATGGAATAAAAACAATTTTAATTATACAATTAATTTAGTACGACTGTTATAAATAAATGAAAAGAGTAAGTAAACGTCGTCGATGCAAGTCGTTGAAATAAGCGCTTTTAAAATGCCATGTTTGTACATGTTTAACCTTATTAAGCGGTTGGACAGAGATTCTCCATTATGTGGTCAAATCATCCAGCAACAATATTCAATGAATGTAATCAGTGCGGCTCATCAACGGTTCGTATCGACTGACGCAACAGACAACGTGTCCAATTTGAATCTCGATTCGCTTTAAGTGGTCCGACTTTTCTTAGATTAGATACAAATGTGCGCTCTATGGATTCTACTGTTGCTTTGCAAACTTTTTTAAATTGAAGCCAAATTACATATTCGATCCTTTCATTAAGGATCTTTAATAATGTTATGTAATTTATGATCTTAGCTAAATGCAAGAAAAAATTGAAGATAATCGTGTTTATGTTGCAATAAGTAAAATTAAAAAGTGACCATAAATTTTTGTGAAAATCTTAAAAATAACTCCATGTGGTCGTTATTTTTGGACTATATCTTTCAATATCCAAAAATAGTACGTTACGTCTACAATCGTGACAGGCTTGTATTGAAGTTAAAATAGCCGAAGGTTCAACGTTTCAATGTCTTCACTAAATGTGTTAATCAAAAATATTACTATTGTTTAAATATTGGGAATTAAATTAGAAGTTATCGTCAATGGAGTGAGAAGAAAAACTTTATTCATCATACCGCTTATTATAAAAGGAGTATCTATGTGTAATTGTGCGTTTGCGTATAGAACACAAAGACCTTTAATAGTGTAAGATGAAGAAATGATACGATCATGGTCCGTTAGAAAATAGAAAGAGTTCTTAATTTGAATGCTAGTGCGTTACAATCATGTTGACTAAGTATTTTAAAATCTGCTTATTTTAACAGAATTTGTCATCGGATCTACGTCGCAGTAAAACACCGCCGCGACGGTCGCCAGAGGAGCGTGCGGTTCCACGGCCACCGTCTGCGCCAGCGGCCCAAGAGCGTGGCCCTCACACTCCACACACGCCGCACACGCCACACACGCCATACACCCCGCATCTATCGCCCAAGAAAGAAGCTTTCAATAACCTTTTAAACAAAGGAATATCAGGTATGTTATTTCTGTTAGCATATAATGGCGGTAAATTAATTTACTGCAGCCCGAGAGCGCTGAAAGCCGATGATGATGACGAGAGAGGAGCAAGTAGTTTTTTTTTTATTCCAAGGAAAACAAAAACATATTTTGAGTTATTTATGTGTATATATTAGGTATTGTAATTTTCTTAGTACTACAGAGTATTTTATTTTATATTTATTCGATAGTCTTGCTCCCCTCCGGCAACGTCCTATAGCTATGAGTAAAAATATATGTGCAACATGTTAGCTTGTTATGTCTCCTTGCTGTATTACATAACCATTACCACCTCCATATACAAAACTAAATAATTGTGTTTTTTTTACAATCATAAATTGTAACTTTCAAAATCATTGTATGAATTATTCATTTTTTTCTATCTAAATTAAAGAATTAAATAGGAAAAAAAATTCAAAAAAAGAAATTCAAAAGATTATTAATTTATAATACAAAATGGAAAGTCAAAAATTTAGAAAGTTAAAAAAATATATTTGTATGCACTTTTGAATTTGTACGATTTCTATTTAAATATTGAACACATCGAATTATCAAAATCAAACTTTCTAGATTTGTTACAGTTAAATAATGTTGTAAATTTTAAATAGACATTAATTTAAAAGCTTTATTTTTTTTCACTATTTTAAAATATTCCCAATTAATATTTAATTCGTATTAAATGTTAAATACATAGCTTTCCAAATAACACAATTAGTTTTTTTTTTATTATAAAATATTAGCAGATTTTTTTTGTAAATTTACTAATGTTTCTTTTACCATTGCAACTAAGCTCTAGGCTTGTGCTAGGATATGGATTACGACAATAGTTGAATGACGGGATTCAAACCCCCGACCTCGTGATCGGAAATCCGTATCCTTAACCATTAGGCTATTGACGATTAGCTTTGACAAATGTTATGAAAATTAAATCAAAATAACTCGTCTATAAGCTTTCGATGTATTAAGCTAAAATAAAAATCCAAAATATGTTATACGTATACATCTCGTTTGATAATTATTTAAATCCGCCAATAGCCTAATGGTTGATGGTACGGATTTTCGATCACGAGGTCAGCGATTCGAATGCCGCCATTCGACTATTGTCGTAAACCATATCCTAGCATAAGCATATAGCTTAGTTGGAATGGTACAAGAAATATTAGTAAATTTATGAAAAAAAATTGCTAATATTTTAATAAAAAAATTATATTATACTTATGAAATAAACTTTGATAAGAGACAGTAATTTTCGCGCTTTTTCGCATAAAATTGAAATAAATGTAGTGTTATGATTTTTAATAGATAAACAAAATTAGCATGGCAATTTTAATAGTTTTTATATTCTATATATGTGATTTTATATTATAAATTCGTCCGGGTGGAATTAAAAAAAATCATAATTGGTAGCATATGTTCTTGTTCTTGTTTCTTGTGACCTTCCAGACTATTTTCTATTATATATATTTGCTAAATTTAAGTGCGATCCTGTCAGCCGTTCTGGAGATATCTTCAAACAAACATCCTCATGCATATTAGTAAGATGTAAGATTATAACGTCATCATTCTTTTCCTGGTCGTAAACATTAAAAAAGTTGAAATAGTATTGTTATGAATTATAGATAAAATGTGCGAATTTTCAAAATAATTTATCGTCAAACGTAAGTAGATTGTGTGATACTTCCATCTCGATAGTATATCAAGCAATTAAAATATGTTAAAAAAAATCTTCAATATATAGAATTAAAATCTAACATGCCTATGCCATTTGGATTCGACATAATTTATTAATTATTTAATCTGAAAAATTCCATCGCAGATGTAAATCTTTCAATTACTTTAAGGCTAAATGATTATCGCCGTGACTGCTGTTTGAATAATTCAGCTATAAAAAATATGGTAATTAGTTGTCTAAAACTCGTGCGGACTCTTTTTATTTATATTTGCAAACATACATTTAAGGTATTTGTTGAAGCTTCTAATGTAAAACATTAAGCGCTCATGACAATATTTGTCTAATTCTCCTTATTCTTCATAATTTTTGTAATCAATCAGCCTGTATCATCAGAATCTTAATCAAATCGTGAGTACAGAAACATATGGTCATCTCTCTCATTCCGCTAATAAAAGAGTAGATGGTTGTATGTTTTTATACAAATGTATCGATAGTGGATACAAATAAGGGATGCTTTCCTCAATGTCTATAATACAATTTAAAAATACAATTTAGAACCACTTTATAAATACTAGCTGTCGCCCGCGACTCCGTCCGCTCGGGAATAAAAATAGATAGTAGCCGATTCTCAGACCTACTCAATATGCTTACAAAATTTCATGAGAATCGGTCAAGCAGTTTCGGAGGAGTATGGGAACGAAAATTGTGACACGAGAATTTTATATATAAGAAAATTGGGCACTAATATAAATATCAAAATATTTTTTATTTAATATCGCTAACAAAGATGGCTTGTATAGAGTAGAGTACAAATGCAGAAGCTCAATGATGATACAGGGTGTTTATTCCCGGTCACGCGCCGTCCGGAGCACCCTTTGTGTAGGCGTACAGCTGATCTGTGCTTATCTGATGTCTCAATTAATTCATCGATATTAAAGTGACGAAATGATAAACGAGACTTATGTTGAGGGATAAAATTGTCTCATATACACTTCCGTGATAAATACGAATGTATATTCATTTTGACAGTAATAATTTAAGATTTTTAGTACTGGAATGGTGTAGTCCACTTTGTGGTCAGTATACGCTTTCTTCATACGAGTTTAGTCAGTAACTATAAATTTAAAAGAGTAAAGAATGTCTTAGCTAATTTCAAATCAAATAAGTAAATGACTAACAATCGTACAATATGCAATAATTTTTCTATTTGGTCTCTTGTAAGATTATTTTAAACAACTTTTTTTTAAAATCGTAACACAAACTTCTACTTAACATTAATACGATTCGATGTACAATCGTTGCTATCAAACGTTTATCTTGCATTTTAAAAACTATAAAATGACTTAGATAAAACTTTTCAATTTCGAGTTAAATATAGAAAACTAACTTATACGTTTTGAAGACAGAACCTTGTATCGATAAAATTGAAAAAGTATTGTGTTATTGTCGATAACGTAATTATTAGTTGCAAAATCTACAGTTATACAATCGAATAATTCGACAGAATAAACACCCTATAGTTTTAATATCTGTGTTTGTATTTAATTTACGGAATAAAAAACTATAAAAAGAGTCGGGCACATCAGCTACGTACACTGGCCTCTTATTCTACGAGTACATCGTTCCACTCCCCCTTTATAATTTTCCATTCAGTCTACCCAATGAATCATAATCTTTAAATCTCCGTTTATCTTGTCCTTGTCTATAGTATACGATTATTCGATGTTTTATCTCGTTCTAGTTCTTTTACCCCTTAAATCTAATCCGGTACATCCCGTCTGTCCGTACAGAGAGCTTCCAACATAATCCCTTGCAGTGTACACATACACTCACACAATGAAAACTATATCCATTTAAAACATCTCTTAAATATTACGCATTAAATTATTAAAAGCAACACCTAATTCTTAAGCATATTTAAAATATTAAAGGTCAACAAAATGTTAAGTCGAAATCGGATTAAGATTGATATGAAATATTAGTAATAATTCATGGATTTAAAATCATTAAATGGCAGCGAATAATTTATTTTACGATGTCAATGTGTTCAATTTATAGGTGAGATAGGAAAACTTTGATTTTTTTTAATTATATTGATGTGAACTCCGGTAGTAGATTTTACACAAAAATGCAATAAAGATATTAAGAGGTTGGTAAGCGCCGCCAAAGACGGTGGCGAGTTAATGCCTAATACCTCTAATCGGCCGTTGTAAATCATTATTAATTCGAAGTCGACCCGCGCCGTCGATCCGCGCCGATTAACGATTGCACAATGCGAGGCGGATTATGCCCCTGCTGGAGATATATCTTTTGTCAATTCCTACCTGTGTACCGTCAACACAACAAACCTTTGATAAATATATATTTTTAATATGCAATAAAAACTACAATATTGTGTTTATATTGGTAGCACTCATTAACTAATTATGTCTTTTTTTTCATATAAATTGTTTTTCAATTCATAATAATTCGAATTTTAATATTAAAAACAGTCGTAAAATTCTGTCCGTACGTCAGTAGAAATGTATTCAGTGATTAAATACACTTTAAAAAAATATAGATCTTTTTTACATTTCAAATAGATAAAATTTTGACATATTTATAAAACAATTAGCATATAGACAATTTATCTCTTTTACAGAAATAAATTGAAATAAAATAAAAATTTCAATGTAAGCGATCTTATGTGTTGACGTTACTTTATTCGAATAAGCCGGTTTTATAAAGATAAGCCGATTTATGTATATTTTTTATTCGTTGGAATTATTTTTATTCTTTTTATGTCAAGCATATGTGCTTACTAAGCCATCATTTCTGTTGCCAAAAACGGTAGTTTATAACTACAAAAGATATTTTTTTTTCAAAAGATATAATAATTTTCTGATGTTATTAATGATCTTGTCTCACTATTAATAAGCTGTGTACAAAAGCCTTCATTAGAAATCATTAAACATTATTACCATTCCGTTAAAATTTTGTGTTATTAAAAATCTGTAGTCTTGAATTCTTTATAAGTAGTTAACATTTCAATATAATTTAAAATTTTGTCGAGTGGTCGAGTTTAAATTGTTCTTAACGCATTGTCAGCTAGTATACGTATTAAAGAATATTCGAATTTAAGAATCAAGGGGTACATATTTGTATGTGTGCTACATATCTTGTAGCTCTGCTTTATCTCCGGGCGACACGAGCTTGATCCGGCCCGGGATGATCCGGATAATCGCGCCATCCCCATTCAATATATCTACAGCGTTTGTAACTACGTCATACATGAATTTATACTTTAGTTCTCTTTGACTTTTTCGAC